TACCTTGATACCCAAGAATTTAAAAGGAATCTTATCAATGCTACAAAAAAAGGAAGTTAGAGGTAGCCCACAAAAACTGTTGAGATATACCAATGCCATATAGTTGCTTTTGTTCATATTGATCCTTAGGCCATAAAGTATCTCAAAACCTCTCAAAATTGATTTTATGGCCCATAAATTGGTCCAAGATCCATATTCAATGATAATTGTGTCATCTGCAAACTGTAATAGGCTGAAGGAAGTTCCACAATTTTCATCATCCATCTTGAATTCACTGAAAAGATCGATATCTACAACCATCTTCATGATACCAGCCAATCTGTCAGCAACAATGGCAAACATAAATGGAGAGAGGGGATCACCCTGCCTCAAACCTTTGAAAACTACAAAGTTTGATGTTGGGCTACCATTGATAAGAATGGACATACTGCTGTTGAAGACACCACCATCCATCCAACTTAGCCATTTGTTTCCAAATCCCATCTTGTCAAGCATATATTTTAAGAAGTCCCAACACACATTGTCATAGGCATAATCAAAATCAACCATGAATAGCAGACATTCTTTTTTCCTTTTCTTGGAAAAATCTATAACCTCAATAGTGACCATCACTCCATCAAGGATTTTTCTTCCAGTATGAAGCCAGTTTATAATTTGGACACCAATCCTCCAATGATTTTCTTGATTCTGTTAGCCAATATTTTTGCCATTATTTTGTATATGCAACCAATTAGACATATTGGTATGAAATCCTCAATCAATTGTGGATTTTGAATTTTGGGAATGAGTGTCAAGAAAGAAGTAGTTATGGCTTTTGGGAGGATAGTAGTGAAATGAAATTATTGAATAACTTTTATGATTTCCTCAAAGATGAGAGGGTTAGGAGACAACCAAGTTTGTGATCTTAATGCATTGTAAAAATACAAATGAGGTGAGATCTTAAGGGTAAAATTAAGGTATGACACTCATCTCACACTGATTAGTTTCTTCCCACACGATAGATTAACCAACTTGTTCTTCTCAATAGACTTTGGCTCCTCCTTCATAGCCTAAATACACTTTGGATCATTCAAGACCTCTTCAGATTTAACGAGTTTGAATTTGACCATAAGTTCAAAATGGATGAAATCACTATCACTGTTGACTTTGTTGTCTCTGAATAACTCACAATCATGGAGTCTTTGAGGCAAACCTCTATGCATTATTTATCTTCTCACATTCTCTTCATTTTGGGCTTTGAAAGCAGGTGTTTCTGCACTCTCAAATTCTGAAGAAACTAAAGTTTCAATGCTGTAACCGGTTAAAGCTTTCTGGTAACTGGTTACAGACTACTACAGTTGCTTTATCTCGTCAAAAATGATATCTCGGGTGATTGAAGCCCTTTTGCTTATTGAATCATACAACTTGTGACCACTGGTAAATTGACACCCTACAAGTATCATCAACTTTCCCTTATCATCCAACTTCTTTCTAAGCTGCTCTGAAACATGTCGATACGCTATAGAATCAAAAACTCTTAAGTGATTCAGATTCAGTTTAAATCCTGACCATGCTTCCTCTGATGTTACCTTTTCAAGCTTCTTTGTTAGGCATCTATTCAACAAATAGGAAGCTATGGACACCACTTCTCCCCATAACTCTTTCAACAAGTTCTTCCTTTTTAACATGTTTTTCACCATGCTCATTATTTGTCGATTCTTCCTTTCACCAACACCATTTTTCTGCAGTGTATAAGGTGGTACAACCTCATCTATTATCCCTTCTTGATCACAATACTTATATTAGCAATCATAGGAGCTTTTAGGACCAAAACCCCATTTGCATCCATAACGAGTAACCCCTTGTTTTCCATGTGAATCTTGTAAATCAAGCAATTTTCCAATACTTAGAAGGTTACACTTAATTCCTGGAATGAGTAACACATCTTTTATTAAGACATGTCCACCATCCCTTCTCATGATCAAAACATCACTGATCCCATCGGTCACTAAAGTGGTATCATCCAAGAACTTCACTTTGTTCTTTATGGCACGATTGATTTTAATAAACCAATCCTTCCTCACCGTCATATGAGTAGAACACGCGGAGTCCTAATACCATTCCTAGATGCATTGAATTGCACCATTCGTACTCATTATGACATTTTCTTCTGCTTGTAACTGGTTACAACTTTTACCTCTAATTGGTTACAACATACTTTTGCAGCGTTTCCAAAATTGATGTTGCTGCTTCCCCACAGTCTGTTGCTGCTATATTTCCCTTTCGTGATCATGACTAAGAGTATGTTCTCCTCATCAAAATCTTGTCTTGCAACCTTGGCTTCATCCCCTTGAGGTTCCTTCTTGCTCGTATTAAACTCTCTTGCAAAATGATTGAACCATTGACAAATAAAGCACTGAATCTTGCTCTTGTAAATCCTCTTCCTATCACCTCTAAAGTTTTCTTGACCACCATTTTTATTGCAAATTCTCTCACATTTTTAAAAATTCTAATTCTTGGAATTTTGGGACCCTCTTCCACCAAAATTTTGAAATATTTCATTTACTCTTCATGGGCCATTTTCCTTTTGAGTTCTTCTCTTTCTCATTGGGACGAGCTTGCACCGCCTTTGCCTCGTCACAATTCCTCTCTTCCATCCTTTTCTCATGAGCCTTAAGAAAGCCTTGCAACCTCTTTTTGTTCATTGTCGTAAGATCCTCCGATTTCTCAATTGCTACAGCCACATTTTCAAATCTTGGCGTTAAAGAATGCAAGATTTTCACGACAACATACTACTTCGTGACCGTTTATCCACATGCTTTTACTTGGTTCACCAATCGAGTAATTCTCGTTGTGAAATCATTGATCATCTCCTTCTCCTCCATTTGAATTAATTCAAGTTTACATTTGTGAGTTTGTAACTTCACCACCTTTGCCTTGTCAGTCCATGTGTACGCCTTCTCTAAGATTTCCAAAGCTTGCTTTGATGATTCACAATCACCAACTTTCTTAAAGTTGTCACCATGCACACATTGATGGATAAAAAACATCGTCTTAAAATCTTTCTTATTTTCTTCCTTATGTGTTGCTTTTTGTGCTTCTATGCATCTATTGCACCTTCTACAAATGAATTCACTCCGTTCTTGATCACTTTAAGAAGATCTTGGTAGCCAAACAAGACCTTCATTTGTTTGCACCATTTGTCGTAGTTCTTCGCATCAAGGATATGTAGGTTTGCATGGATTCTTTCATTGGAGACAGAATTCATGTTGCACCTAGTTGAAATCACGCAATTGGTGAATATGAGAGAGAGAGAGAGAGAGAGAGAGAGAGAGAGAGAGAGAGAGAAATTGATGGTGAGAAAATATTTTCATTAACATTGACAACAATACCTCCAAGATATTTATATGTTTAAAAGTGGATTGACATACAAACATCAAGTCAAAAATAACAACAACAAAAAAATCAAAAAAACCTCATACTTGTAACCAATTACACAAAACCTGTAACCGATTACCACTCCTACGACTCTGAAAAAGACTAATAGTGGTGACCGATTACAACAAATGCGTAACCGTGTACGTCCACGACAAAACTTTTTATTTTTATTCCAAAAGTGAATTTCGCTCGGTTATAATCAGTTGAACCCCCGTGATAATCAGTTACAGCACTTGAATTGAATTATTGTTTTTCTCTTAACAAGAAATCCCCTTCCTCATTTATGTAATTAGTTATATGTAATAAAATTAGTTAGCCTAATATATGTCGTTAGTTACTACCGACTATATTGATCGACTCTATATAAGTGGGCATGACATGTTGTATCATTTAATAAATCAATATATTTTTCTTTTTCATTCAATTTGATGTTCGGCCAATATGGGTAGGATGGAAAAAAAATCTGGACCCGCGGGCACCCGCCCCGAAATTAAAGGGAAAAACTTGATTTAATTGGATGCGGGTGCGGGGAAAACCCGATTCTTAACTATGGATGCGGATACGGATGCGGGGAAACACTAAGATCCGCCCGAACCCACCCCGACCCGCCCCCGAATAATGAATTTTAGTTTAATTCTCTTATTTTATTTATTTTAATATTCATTTATTAATTATATTTTTAATTAAATTATTTATAGTAATTAAAATAATTAAATTAATCAAGTTAATATTCATTTACTAATTAAAATTTTAATTAAATAAATAGTTAATTTATTAAAATAATTATTATTTTTTTTTTTTTTTTGCAATTAAAAAGAATTTTTTTTTTCGGGTGGGAGTTAGGACGGGTGCGGGTGCACCCATTTTCCACCGGGAGCGGGACGGTAAATTTTTACTTCCATATAGATTTGAGGGTGAGGACAAGTGTGTTACATGGAGGCGGGTGCGGGTATAGTTAAACCCGTCCCCGCCCCGTTGTCATCCCTAAATATGGGTCCAGTTGTAATCCTCATAGTGTTTGCACTGTCTCTCAAAGTAATCTACAGTTGTGCTACCAAAATTGTACATCTTCTTTTCAAGGATTGTCCTCATGCATCCATTTTATTGAGTTGGCTTAGTAACATGAATTAAATGCAATTTGTATGAAGTTATTTCTTGTCATTGCTTCAGGTCTACAACCAAAACCTTTCAGCTCAATGTAAAGTTGTGCTTTTGGTTTAGTTATTAGTTTGGTTAATGTGGTTTGGTGTTATAGAAACATGCTGATGTTGGATAATAAGAACACTCCTTGCAAATTTTCTTTTAGCATGATCATTGTCAATGTTTCCTTTACTAAAGACCTCAGTTTTGCTGAAACTGCTTCCTCTGTGAAAAAATTTTATATCCTTAATGTTTTTTTGTTTTGGTTCATACTAATTCTCTTTTAGCCCTTTTAATCACCAAGCTGAATTGACACCCTCTTATTTTATTGTGGAACAAGTGTAACAAATGTGACACATCTAAAGCCGCGCATATCTTTATTTAGTAGAATCCACTGAACTTATAAACACAAGACTCAGAACAACTCGTTGAAACTCCTTCATTCACCGGTATTGGCTTGCTAATTCACCCTCCTTCACAATGTAGTTCTGTTGAGGAAAGTCTTCACCCTTGAAGTGCCTCTCAAGCATATCTTTAACTCCAGCAGCATAGCGTAACTGAACAGGTTCAATCATCAACATCATCAGTAGTTCACAAAACATTAACAGTGTTAGCATTCTACAACAGTTTTCTGGATTCATTTTTAACTTCTTTTGTTTCAATGTATTCTTGCATGTTCTAATGTTTAGGAACATGTTAGACTAAACTTGTGTCTCAAGTAATGTTTAGGAACATGTTAGACTAAACAGAGAAAAATAATAATTTAACGGACCACCATAGAACTAGAAATTAAGATAGAGGACTAAAGTGGAGTAGTTTTATCAAAACTAAACTACCTGTGCATCTATGGTGGTTCCCGAAATATGAGGAGTCATGGCATGGTTTGGCATGTAGCGCCATGGATGATCTTTTGGAGCTGGTTGAGGGAACCAAACATCCCCACTGTAACCTATAAGATGAAACTCAGCTGTTAAATTAATTCAAACATAGCTCAAATGAAATTCAAGTGTCACACTATAGGGTTATTTTTGTTTGGAAATACTATATTTGCCAGCTGACTTTAGAATTACCTCCAATGTGACCACTAGAGCAAGCATCAGCAACTGCTTGTGTGTCCATAATTGCCCCGCGAGCATTGTTAACAATCAAGACACCTTTCTTCAACTTAGCAATTCTATTTTTGTCAAACAATCCCCTGAATCACAAACATTAAACAACAAAAACATCAGCCACTGATGGGTGTAAACTCAGCAGAAGCACTTAAACACAAGCTGTGATTTTTAACTCTGAACTTGAACAATAGAATGACATTGCAGTCACTCTCTAGTCGGAGACTTAGGCACTATTGGCCAAACTCCATGAACAAAATTTGTGTGTTCCCTATTTTAATTTGGAGTAGCTATGAATTTCTCTTATGACTACGGATTTCATATGTCCAAAATTATTTCAACAGAAGGTATTAGTATTAAAATTATACCTTGTCTTTTCAGTGAGAGGCGTGTTGATAACAACTACATCGCACTTTGGAAGCATTGTATCAAGGTCCTGTTCAAACTTAGCTCCAATTTCTTTCTCTAATTCAGGCTCCATCTTAAGTCTATCATGATATAAAAGGTTACAGTTAAAAGGTTTCAGCCTTTGGAGTAAAAGCTTCCCGATTCGTCCAGCACCCACCGTTCCTACCGTCTTTCCTTCAAGATCATAGGCTCTATGTGAAATGCCAGCGACATTCCATTCTCCTGTAATAGACTGATGGTAACCAGGCACAAAATTCCTCACCAGAATGAGAATTCTCATGAGCTCATCCTCAGCAACCGACACTGTATTGCTTCCTGTGACCTCTGCGACGGTTAAACCAGCAGCAGCCGCAGCATTGAGATCAATATGATCAGAACCAATTCCGGCAGTCAAAAGTAGCTCTAAATTCTTAGCTTTCTTAATTCTTTCGGCGGTAACATAGGCAGGGTGAAATGGTGTAGATATCAGGACATGAAGATCAGGAATGTGCTTCTCAAGTTCTGATAACATAACAACAATTAGTCATAAGTTCAAGCAATCATAAACTTGAGATATCATCCACATATTTTACAATTCAAGCAAACAAACATAACATGAAAAATATTTAAAATCATAAGTATATATATGATTTTAATGACTACTCATCAGAACGCACAGACACGGACACCGAACACGACAACACAGGTACGCGCCTTTAAAGAGGGTGGATTAATTTGGCAAAATGTATACCAGAATTGGGTCCTTCTTTGTCATCAGTGACAATGTATTCATGTCCTTGTGATTCCAGCCACTCACGGATACCTAATGCTCCTTCAACACATCCCACAAAATTGGGATTCGATGAAGCATATTCATTGCCTTTGTAGAAAACACCAACAATCTTCTTCTTTCCACCGGAGGCCTATTCCCCCCCAAAAAAAACAATGCATAAGAAAAGTCAAATAACAAAACATACGTTATGTATATAAACATGAATACACTGCTCATAAAAAATAAAATTCAATGATATGAAACAATTTACTTTAGGTACATTATCCAAACCAAATTCAATGATATGAAACAATTTACTTAGTAGATAAAAATAAAAATTAAAAAATCATCAATTTAGGTTCCTAAATTTGTAAAACTATTTAAATAGTGAATTCCAGCTTCTAGACTACTAGAAAAGAAAAAAAAACTTTGCAGACCCACCCTTATAATGTGGATAATGTGTGAAGATAAACTAAGGCATACTTTCTAATAATAATTTCTAATAATAGAAATAAATTAATTAATAATAATAATAACAATAATAATAATAATAATAATAATAATACAATTTAACAAAATTGATATTTGACACATTCTTATCGATTTAAGTCTTAAATTATTGAAAGTTGCTTTAAAAAAATCTATAAATAGTTGGATGGAAGAATGTAATTTTTTTTGAGATAATCAACTTTTTAAAATTACATACCAAAATAATGATGTTTTTAATTTATTTATCAAATTAAGCATATTTTAAGAAGAAGCGTCGACCCTTATAGGGCATGGATTAGATTCTTACACATAGATGTTATTACAATTGTCGCATGCATGCAAATAGAAGAACATGCACCACTACAATTGGCACATGCATGTAAAATAAAAAATAAAAAAAATAAAGGAGTAGTCACGTGCATACCATATACGCCAATTGTAGTATGACAAATATATACATGCTGTAACTAATCAAAACATGCAACTTCATTAAAAACTTAAAAATAGATGCAATTTCATTGAAAAATATGGTTATTTAAAATATAAAAAAATTGGAAGAATAGCTTGAGATCTCTTAATTGATTTTTTAATAATTTAAGAGTGTGTTTGAATGAAAAATTTTAATAAGAGAAAGTAATATTTTGAAAAAATTTTAAATAACTTTATCAAAATTTATTATTTAGATAAAAAATATAAAAAATTGTTAAAATAATGTAAATTTATGAAGTATTTTATTGAAGTTAAATTTAAAAATTTTCAAATGATAAAAAAAAATAAAAAATTTGAAATTACTCAATATTATGTGATTGTTAATTTGTATTAAATTATTAATTACTCATTTACTCACAATTGTTGATTTTTATGAAATTATTAAAAGAGCAATAGTTAAGAAATAAAATTGTAAAAAAGGAGAAAATAGAAAAATGTTCTATCAATGTGACAAGTGTGAGAGAGAAAATGGGAGTGGCATTGCTTGAATGTGACGACGAATCATGATGCATGCAAGAAAGAGAAGCAAAAATTTACCAAGCTTTTTTTTTGAAGATTGCTTAATTGATTATTAAGAACAATGAAATGAAGAAAAAAAAGCATCAAAATAGATATAGAATGACATTTAGATGGTTGATTGGTGATGAAAATGAACTTACATGAAGGTTTCTGGTGATGGTGGAAGCAGCAGATATCATAGCCATCTTTGATCTATTTTTTGTTTCAATGAAACTTTAGAAGGATGAGAGTGAAGTGTGAGGTGTGAGGAGTAGAGAGGAGGTTTATATAGAAAAGAAAAATTGAAGAGAATTATTATGAGCAGACGGAATAGTGAATGACGGCGACGGCGAAATTTAACTTAACATGAGGAAGGCTTTATCTTTTCCACTCAATCTTTTCTTTTTTAATCTAAAAAACACAGTAAATACACTTTAATTTCCTATTTCCTTAATAAATAAAAAATTTAAAAATTGATTTTGTATGTTCAGTTTTTCTTTTTTAATTTATCTCTCTCACTTTATTTTAAGGTTAATTTTATTATTATGACATAATTTAGATAAACACTTTTAATATTTATTTAAATTTTGTCGCATCACTAATTAAAATTAATTTTGTTTTTTCTCCTCACAAGAGGTTTAGAGTTGATGCAAGGATGTTTTTTTATCCTCGGTTAAATGAAACAATTTTATTTTAAAGTATTACTAATTGTTTAAATCAATCAGATGATTGACTATGATTTATGTCGCACTCTTTGTTTTCGGTTTAAACCACTCACGCTATATAAAGGGAAAAAAACATGTCATTTTTAGGTATTCAAATTCATTTCCACTCTCGCATCACTTTTTATTCTCTCGCTAACTTGGACGTTGGAGTGTTAACATTGCATGTTAACCTCATTTTCGTTGCACCGAAAAACTTAAGACCACAGTGGGGAAACAATACTTCACCTTTCACCGAAAAAATATGGTTCCGCAACAGAATAGTGGCGCCATTTGTAGGAATTGGAATTTGATTCCAGAGTATTTCCACGATCAAGTCTCCTCCAATCCAAAGATCTAAATCTCCTTTTTTTTAGAATGTTCAAATCTCCATTTTTATCATCTTCCTTGAAATCTCAACCTCATCTTTCAACAAATCAATCCTTAGATTCATTAACCATGGTAACCTCCAATGCCACTTGATCCCCTGTCCAATGGCATGTTGTCGTTGTAGCTGCTGAAGTTGTTAAAGCTTTGTCTCCCTTTCCTCAAGCAGAGGACAATCTAGTTTTAATAACATCTCCTTCTAATCATTGACAAAAAGTTCTACACCTATAGTTGTTCAAGGAAAATTCTAAGCACTTTTGTTCTTCGGGTCTGTGTAACAGTTCCTCTAAGGAGAACTATCTCGTCGACCTCCACTATTGCTCGTGGTACCTGGACAAGAAATATTCTCTAACCCCTAGTTGTTACAGGACAACCTTGGAATACAATGAGCTACGATTTGTTTAAAAATAATATAATGCAACATCAAAATGCATAATTATTGGCAAAAAGGCTTTGTAGGAATGAACAGAGCCTATAATATGTCACACCAAGGAGCAATATTGTGTGAGATGTGGTCTCCTAAGGAAATCAAGTATTCATTCCTGATCTGGCCTAAGTTAGAGAAACACCACCACGAGGATAGTCCTTGAGGTCGCATGCTCACGGATTTCACCAATACATAAGACTTCTCCCACGATCCTAAATGGAAGAATGGTAGCATCACTCTCCTAGAGGTTTATCGTCCTCATATGATGGAGAGGTATGAAAAATACGTTATGGTTATATAGCGAAAAAGGAACCATTTGTTCCCTTGCATCCTCAATATCAGGATTTAGAGGTCATTAGAGAAGTCTATGAAGTTGTAGAGTTATGATAGTAGTAGAGACCTAGATGAACACATTGAACACATAGACAACCAATAAGACTATTAACACACTCAAGGAACAGTTAATTGCAAGCTCTTTGCACTAACCTTGATCAGATCGACAATGACATGGTTCAAGACATTCTTATATGGGAGCATAGATTCTTGAAAAATCCTTTGGGAGGATTTCACCACCCAATTCATTGCTCGAAAACGGAAACCCACGATGATGGCCATACTAATTAGGGTCTCTTATTAGAGGAACTAAACTATACATGAATACATTCATTGTTTCATCAAAGTGGCAATAGT